ACAAATATAAATCATCAGTTACGGGAACTAAAAGCTTTCAGATGGAATTACTCTAACACCTGCCTCATGCAACGGGCACAGGAAGGATGATGTGCACCCGGCTTCTTCGGGGGCTGCACTGCTGCCTAAATAAAAACCTGTCACATTCACAAAGTGAATATTATTCTGGTGCCCTGGTTTGCTCTGGCAGAAAAGCAGCACATGCCTATGGGGAGGGTGAGCAGAAGGAACAGTGCCTGGGATGAGAAGAGCTGGGGTTTGCATCATTTGGACCGTGCAATAGCACTACACAAAGCTAAACAATGTCCTCCCTCATCGAAGAAACAATTTCATGGATAAAAACGTCCCATTCAATGTAATACAGTGGAATGATTTTGACACAAAGTTTGGGAATCGTCTGGAGTCCTTTTCCTTTTCTTTTTAAAATAGTACCTGCACGTATTCCATGTGTCAGCACCATCACACACTCTCCATGGGGTCACAAAGTGTGTTGCCTAATAAAACCAGACCTTTCCGCAAAACTGCACTTGCCCTTCTGGTCTGGCAGAGGATGCATCAAAGGGCAGATTGTTTAAATATAATTTCACTGGTTACTGTGTGGGTCATCAGAACTGGATATATGTAATTTCAAAGGTTTTTCTCTTCCTGCTCCTCACATCATTCCAGGTCACACCTCCCTACAGGTGCTCATTGTTGACTCAAGGACACTTCCAGGCAGCAGAATATCAACAGAGCAGGGATGGACAGGCCAGCTCATCCTACACATTTTAAATTGCTTAAAAAGACCCAGAAGCCTTTTTGCAAAAAGAGTCTGTGGCAGGGACTGAAATCAGTGCTCAGCATGTGGCTTAGACAAACAGAATGGTCATTAGTGACTGTTGTCATTGTCACACCGGTGTAGACTGTTAATTCAGCACAGGAGTCATTAAAAACAAGCCTCAGTGGAGAGAGGAGTTTTTGTCAATGCTAGATGACTTGGCAAAAAGTGAAGAAGACCCTCAATATCCTACATTGCTCAGCTTGTAAATTCAGAACAAAAACTGCCAGGAATTTGCTGGCGACAGGATTAGGGACTAATTATTTTCTTATGCCGAAAGCTGTTAAAACCCAACCCTGCTTTTCCTCACCCCATAACTTTGTTAAGCTCACTGGTCATTCAACAAGTCACTCTCTTCCAGAAGAATGTCACCACTTCCAAAGCTTCCCCCTGACTTTGCCCCTGGGTTGAGAAGGTGGTATCACCCTCACACTGGCTGTGACTATCCCGTGTATCTGAGAACTAAGAGCTCAGTCTCCCCCACCCCTGCTCCAGCCCCAGGGCTTTAATTGCCTCTGAGCTCAAATTAAAGAGCAGCATCCTCTCTGCTGCACGGGTGTCCCTCCCTTAGAGTTCCCCCCACCAGGTGCTTTTAATTTATTTGTATTTCCAGCAGCGATAATTGAGTTATCAATTTTGTGCTCTTTTGGGCCAGAAGCAAAGAGATCAGAGAGCTATTTTATACACCTAATTATAGATTATTTCCCATAGCTATAAAACCACAGAGAGACAGATCCAGAAAATATGTCATGAGGTGATCTGTGTCCTCTTCATCTCTACTGGCTTCTCCCTATTGCTTCCTTAAAGTCCAAGCTGAATGCCCTCCAGACAAAACACTTGTCAAAAGCTAGGGTTACCTATTTCCCTACAGGAAAGGGAAATGTCTCCTCGCCCCAGCAGAGAGCTGCTTAAAATGAAATTCAACTTTTACTGAAATGATCTGTTAAAGCCTTTAGCACCTCATAGAGTCAGGCTGAGATTTATCCCATTTCTGTGCAGTTTGGCTATAATCTGGCTCATAATTGTGGCCCAGGGTCCTGCTGAGGAACGAAGAATTTGATTTTCTTTCCCACTAGTGGTTTTGGGGTGGGATTGGACTAGATGATCTTTAAGGTCTCTTCCAACACAAACCATTTCTGTGTTTCTATGAATTTGATGTGGCTCTTTATGCCCCCCATTATCTCCCCACTCCCCTGGTCCAGAGGTTCCTGCAGAGTCTCCCTCCATCCCACGCAGGTCCGAGCTGCCTTCAGCATCCCCAGTTCTGCCTGAGCTGCCTGGAGCACACTGCAGTGCAGAGCCAGTGCTAAAGTCCAGCAGGTCCTATTTTTATATTTACAGAAAGGGATGGGAATCGTCTCTGTGTCGGTATTAGGTTTCTGGTGGTGACATGAAGAGGCCATCCAAGATGTATGACCTAGCAAATGTACTGTAATGCACACATCACATTTGTTCTCCAAGTAAGTAGATATTGCCTAGGGTATATTACATCTGTGCTTTCATGTTTAATTTAATGTAAGTGAACTGCCTTAATTTCTCTAAATTGTAGTAATAAACATAATGCTAACAGTGATATTGCTAATAATTTATTTTGCAAGTGATTAATCAACAATGAACTATTTTAATTACCTGTTCGGAAATGCCAAACTCTAAATTAATTATGTGTCATTATATGAATTCATATGTATAAATATATACACTTATATATGAATTCTGAGGCTAATTAAAATGAATAAACCATCAGATTTGGTGAATTCATAGAGCTGAGGGGAAGGGGGGGGTCTGCTCTCCCCTGCTCTTCTGCCTTTTTGCATTTCACCCTCAGCACAAAGAGAATCACATCCCAGTGCTTTCAGTAAGTCATTTGTGATCCTAAAAAACATATTACCCAGAGAAAGTAGCAAATTCCCTGGGTCCCACCCTGCAAAGAGCAGTGTGGCCACATGGCGAGGGCAGGGGTGGGTGGTGAAAGCAGGGGTGGGTGGCAGGGGCTGCAGCACTTCTGTCTGCAGGAAATGCAGAGTGTGACTCTTTGGGGTGATCTCTGTGCCTGACCTTGGAGCTCCCTGGAAATAAAATCCAATGGGAACTTGAAGGGGGGAGAAGGAGATGATTCCCTGGTCTCAATTGTTTACAGCAATTTTTTGCAGGGAAATCAAGGATTAAATCAACAGATTTGGGGCACAGCCACAGAGTTTTGCTTTTCACCTGGTGGAGGAGACTGCATCTAGAGATGCTACAAGGCACAAAGCTGGCAGTGCTGGGGTATTTAGCACTAAGAGCACCCCCATGTGCCCCAAAATGAGGCTGGGCAGAAAAGGGAGACCATCTCTTTACAATAAGACTCAAGCCCAGAGTCCATGGCCAAGAGGCCCCCAGCCATCCAGCACTGGCCCAGCCAGCAGCAGTGGTTCCCAGTGAGTTGGTGGCCCCTGCAGCACAGAGGGCCAGGGGACTGCAGGGGAGGGAATCTCTAATTTAGGGGTGTGGAGGGAGACAGTTCTAATTGCTTGTAGCACTGGCTTGAAGAGCAGGATGATTAATGAGAGCAATGGCATGGAGGAACCAGAATGTAAGTAATGAGACCTTTATTTGATACATAATACCACTGGGACCTTCTATAAAGAGAATACCACGAGTAGGGCTAAGTTTTGCTGGTTTGGGAATGCATCAGGAAGGGGGAAAGTATTGCTGACTCTGCAGTCAAATGCTGGGGCTGTACACAACGGGACTGCAGCGCTGTTCAAAGTGAGCCTGGGACATGTTAATTCAGTCATATATTTTCAGATGCTGGAAAAACACTCTGACTTGTGCTTTAGTGTGCTGAGTGGACATATGCAGACTTGTGGGTTTAAAATGCAGTATCCAGAGCCTGATTCTGTCACCTCATGGTTGAATTCAAGCTGGGAGATGAAGAAGCCATTATATACACAAGAAGAACTTCCAGCCAAAAAATTACTTATGGTTTCAGTTGAAGGAGAAGTTGCAGATAGTTTGGGTATGGATGTCAGAAACACAGCAGTTAACAGCAGAGATGTATGAGAGATTGGGTGGTGATAACTTAGATAAATTGGTGTCTCATCCATATTAAGGAGACAGCTCATCCTCAGTTGCTGCCGGATGACATGAACAGTGGAGCGTATATGGATACTAAAATATATTGGTCTTAAAGTTAAATCCCCAAGAACCATCAGAAATAAGTCTCAGAAGCCAAAGTGAGATCTGATACACACTGCAAAAATATGCACTCTGTCAGAGCATGCTGCTCTCTCCATATAACTTCCACCATTTGTGGGACAATTATAGGGAAAACAATACTGTGATCTGTAAAACAGTTCCTGGAGTGGTTTTATTCACTAACTCAATGCTATGCATAATCATTGCCAGCAACATCTCCAGAGGTGTGTGCATAATAGAGAGACATCAAGTCAATGAGTCAAAACATCAGAAAATAAAATTCAGATGAATCTCGCATTCAAAAAATTGTATCATCTGTCATTTAACACTGTCTGAAGACCTCCTTACTGAAATAATACATCTAAACCAAAGGTTACCCCAAGCAGTAATACAATATTGTGCTGTGCTTAGGATCTACCAGGAACCAGGGTTTTCTGCACCTCGAGCGGCTGCCAAAGAAGGGGAGCTGGAGTTACAAGTCCTGTGGGGATCTTCAAACTGAAGCACCCAAAAGATTCATAGAGACAGAAGGCACTGGGAGGGTCTTTTCCTCTCCTGTACCCTGTCAAAACCTGCCAAAGCCATTAGTGACCCCCCAGCATCACCAATTCCCTTTGCTTTGTAGATATGCATAATTTTTTTTTTTTAACACCCAAATTAGCCTCTAAAAGAGGGTTTGTACCCAAATGCAAACTTAATTTGCCCTCACTGACATTACACTTCCCCGGATTAGATCTTTCATTCCTTCTGTTCCAAAACACCCATTGCGATTTAAGAAGTTCCCCTTTTTGAAAATGCAGGTTTGGAAGACCTTTAAATCCCCTCACTAAATTCTTATCGTGCTATTTCCCCAAAGCACCGTGTGTAGCATCATCTCTGCACTGCAGCTTGAAAGGAACAATTCCCTGCAGATGCAGGCGCCCGCGGCCAGGAATATCTGCTCCGGGATGCTTTGGCAGGGATATCACAGCATGGGCCATAAGGCAAGCATATATACATACATATATAAAATGTATATGTACATATATAACCTGGTCCTTGCTGCACCCAGGCAGGTGCAGGTGGGAAGAGCGAGTGCCGTATAATGAGTCCGAGTTGCTCCAGGGTGTGAGAATGAGCAATGAGCATCTCTGCTGGAAGCAAAATCAGGAACTTGGGTGAGCTTTGCTACTTAGACAACAAATCACTGGGTGTGCTTGAGGGTTCATTTTTCATTGGGAAACACCGGTGAAACGAGTACTTTGCTGCTTATCTCTTTATTGCTTATCAGTGCTTCTTTGCCCTTCATTTCTTGGAAAAGGCATGGTGCTTAAATGGGTTGAAGGGTGGATGCTGTGAAAGAACTAAGCCACCTCTTTAATCCCAAAGGCTTCATCAAGGGTTCATTTTGCTCTCCCAGAAAATCTCTGTCTTCCCAGATCACTCGCCTCCCTCACTCCGCCATCCATCCAGGTTGCCTCGTCTGTATCTGAAGGCATGCTTGCCATCCTTTGAAGAGGTAGTCTCCTCTAAAAAATCAATAGTTAACATTGTCTTTAAATAGTCTGACATTTACCTTTACTGCAGTTTTCATTTCTTTCTGGGATTGCTCAGACATTTGTATTACCCATGTACATTCCTTATTTCTCTGCCTGTAGCCACCGACCAGGAGCTTTGCAGGGATGGCAGTCCTGGTGGTGTAGCTCCCAGCCACAAATAAGGAGACTTTTGCAAGATAATTGAGAGGACTGGAGCTCGCTAATAGAAGCATCTTTAATTTATGGAAGACATCAAGTGAGAATAATTACAAGAAAAAGGGTAGCATAAATCCCTGAAGAAAATACATGCTGAATGCAGTTTTCCCAACAAGCAAATTTGAATGCTGGCCCAAAGGTCAAAATAAAAGACTCTGAGCTTCAACCTCCTGAGCCATCCACCTTTCCTTTGGCTCTTGTCAAGAACTTGTCTGGGGGTTCATTTAGAAAGCTGCTTGCACAGAGCAGGGCCATTTGCAATCTGGGAAAGTTAAGCAAATTAGCAGAATTATTAGGTAAGAGGCAATTCTCCACAGCCTGCAAAGCAACCGCTTGTTAAATTAGCTCACACAGGAGAATTGCACTGATCGAATGATGGTTGCAGTGTTTGCAGAGAGAAGACTGTGCAGGCATTTCCTTTGAAATAACACTGCTCTACTCCAGCCTAAGAATAAAAATGGAGAGTTTGTGCAGATTCCCTGGCAGGCTGGGACAGGCTCCTTGCACAAATGTACTGGAAGATGCCTTTGTCTTTTAAACACATTTCTCCTATCCAGTTCCTTCTGCCATAATAATAAAAAAACTAATAAAGAAGAACCCAACCCCCTCAAACTATTAACTTCTAAAAATAGAGAAGGTTGCAAGAGAACTGATGCCACCAGACCCCTGGAAGCAGATGGCTCGATGCACCCAATCTCCTCTGGGACTTACAAGGACACTTGGGGTTTTGCAGCCTCGCTGTCCCAGGGAGACTTTGGGAATGGAGCTTTCAGCAGCAGAAACAGAACTCAGAGTCCTCCAAGAAGCCCAGGAGAGGATGGTTCACACATGGTTTCTGAAATTTCAGTCTCATTTTTATATACTCATTGGCTATTGATTTGATATTTTTATACCTTATATAGTGCACTTAGTACAGGAAAAAAATGGATTAACCAAGTAAATGCGTTTTATTAGTGGGTCTCTGATGGAAAATTATGTCAGTTTTCCATTTAAAAGATGCATCAGATTAATCCACCTATGAATCAATCTTGTCCACACTTAAAAACCTCCTCACACCCCACGGTAAATTTTCCAGTGTGACACTGCAAACAGCGTGTAACAATTGAAGTTTTAAAATGATGAAAAGGTATTATTGTGAAGTCTTTAGCACTTCCAAAGCGGTTGAGAATGAAATGCTCATCCCCAAAGTGAAGTGAAGGTGTTACACCAGACTTAGCTCCAGATTCCCTTGCAGGAGATGAAGCTTTCTCATAAAGTCATGTACTTGAATCCATCAGCATCAGCATAAGCAGCAAACCACTGAGTTCTTCCAGCCTCACCCTACTTGAAATTCCGAACAGCACTCACAACCGCAAGCAGGAGAGTCCTGGAGACCAACAGTGTCTAAAACAAGGGACAAGACACCTTCCTAACTGCACTACATGGTCTGACACCCCATTACCAGCCCCAAGACCTGGCAGTGTTGCTGCAGTGGACATTGGCTGAATCCTGGAGGAATTGCCGGCAGATCGACGGGGAGGTTTCATCAAGCACTGGCTCCCCAGCAGCCCCAACGCAGGTGAGGCTTCCTGGGGTGTCAAGGGAGAATCTGCAAAGTCAGGCTGAGTGTAATCACCAGATAAATCCTCTGCAGTTGCCGGCAATGGACCTGAGCCATGATGCAGAAGTTCTGGTTCCAGATTGAACTTTTCTCCCAGGTATAAGAGATACAGTGTCTGGAGTTGCTTTTAGTCTCTGCCAGGCTGTTGGCTAATTTCTGGCTGTTTCCTGGTATCTCCAAATCCCTTTTTTTTTTTTTCACACTCTATCATCTGCTTTAAAGGATACAACACTTAAGCCTACACAATGATGGGTTTGAGATCAGGATTATTAAATTTGGCAAGTGCTGGCTGTTGAACACTGCCCTATGGAACAAATGGCACAGTTTTGGTTTTTCTGTTTCTTCTCCTGCTTCTTTCTATGACTGACAGATATCCCAGCACAAAGGGTTATCCCAGGTTTTATCCTTCATAGGCTTTTTTTGGCTCACAGGACCATGGTCCTCACCATGGAAAGATGGATTATGCCTTTACTTTCCAGGTGATCCACAAAAGGGCAATAGAAAACAACTGCTTTCCCAGCACTGAGAAGCAAGTGTGGCACAGGGCCATCTCTTACCCCTGACAGGATATCAGCTCGTGGCTGGACACTTGCATATTTGGGAAATAGTTTCAAATCTCTTCCCCTCTCACTCTCACTCTTTTCCCTCTCCCTCTCCCACTATGCAGGAGAAAGCAGAAGCCACCTGTAAGGTACTGCACAAAATAATTTACAGGAGGGGTGGGCAGAAAGAACTGGAGGCAGATGTTGTCTGAGGGAGGTGCTAAGAGATGTGAAATACCTATCCCACATGGATGTGGAAAAGAAGCCCTTGGTGCTGAGTCTCTGGTACCTTCAAGAGAAGACTGGCCATGCTCTGCTCCCATCACTGGGTTACTCAGCTCATTGTAGCCTTCCTGTAGCAGATGGTGCTTGTGGGCTCAGCCCCAGCTCTGTGGTGCAATCCTACCTTTCAGCCCCAGGACTATATGGAAGATCACAGTGTTTATTTTTGGTGTTGTAGAATAAAAGACAAGTGCCTATAAGCCAGCTGAGATTCCTGGGCATACACTGGTAGAACAAGCATAAGGTAAGAGCAGTTGAACATTAAAATAGGGAGCCTGTCACAGAATTGTAGAGTCATTTAGGTTGGAAAAGACCTCTAAGATCATCGAGTCCAACCATTAAATCCATGTCCAATCCAGGCAGACCAACTGCATAAGTTAATTTACATGGAGCAGTGACAAGCTGTTTTCTGTTGTAGTTCTGTTTGCTGAATACCCCAAAACGAAGGCTTTTATTCCTTGTGAGAGAAAGGAGGACTTATCCACACCCCAGGCTGGGTGCTACTACACCTCAGCACTGCTGCAGTAGCTGAGGTAATGCATGAACCCGCCAAGCTGCTACGACCAGCCACGCGCCTGCTGTCTGGCCACGTCAGACACAAAGGAAAGGACGTCTGCTTTAAACCTCAGCCAAAGAAGTTCACGTGGACACGTTTTATCTCGTGGTTGCAAATAGCTCAGGCTGTGCAGGCGGTCGCCGTTCACCAGGAAGGGTGGCAAATAAGCAGCCCGTGTGTAGGAGCTGAAGCATCCTTCTTCTGCTCTTGCTTGGATGTACAGGAGATACCATCATCCAGCCCTGTCTTCCCTTGGAAAACACATGCAGCACATCTCACTGTATATGTTTAATCCAAACTAATGTCCGACGGCTATGATATGTGTGATTATGGCAGTCATTTTTAATTAGGGGTTGTGTCAATAGTATTGATATTTTTATCGCTTTTGGGGGAAGCAGAGGATATTTTCCTGCAGGTGGACTCCTCTCTTTGTGGTTTTCTATCCCTCCAGCTGCACCCATGTTACGAAAAGGCTGTCCAGCTTATTAAATAATGAAATGTTATTAAGCCCATTCTCTGTGCAAGTTAATTACAGCAACTTACACAATACCAAATCCAAGGAATGCAGAAATTCAAATTCCCTCCATCCTGTGGCAAGATTTATAATCCTAGCCTGACTGCAATGTTTATCATTAACAGGAGCCCTGTCAGGATCAGGGAAACACTGGTGGCCCTGTGAGGAAGAGGATGCATTCAGTACCTTGCTGGGAAGTGGAGTTAGACAGGAAAGGCTCAAGCCACTCCTTGCCTGCATTGATAAACACTCTACAGGAGCTGTCTTTCACCCAGAAAGAAAAGGGAAGGCAGATCATTACATTTATTGGTCATAGTTTTTCAGGAGTTAATGAAGATCTACTAGAAAAGCCATGGATAGTAGCAGTAATATATATTTTTCATCTACCTCAAATATACCTTTGTCTCAACAGCTTTACATAACACCAGTAGAAGGTCTGACTTCTGCCTGATAAGTCAGGATGAATCTTCCTCCCAGATGATGGTCCTGGTGTAGATAGTGCTCATATGGTAGAGTTTTTAATGTCTTTAACCATCTTTAGCTTTGTATCCTGATAGCCCCTTCAGGCTACATGTCAATGCCATCTGGGAGGAAAAGAAGGGACTTCTGCTCAAGCGCTGCTGTAGCGCTGATCTCTTGACTAAAATTGTGCTTCCTTCACTTGACAAACCGTCAGCACAGAGCAATTATCTGCCTGTTGGCTTGCTTGTCCTTTCTTTTCTCTTCTCTCAGGAAAAAAAAAAAAAAAAGCACATGAAGGAAAAGGATCCACAGAAAAACTCCATGGCAGAATCCGGCTGATCTGATCGCACCACTCAAGATGTGCTTGCAGATGTATCAAAGGCAGAAGTGATCCCTTCCTTACCACTCTTTTGCCCCCTTCTCTTCCTAAGCTTGACTGGTGAATGCTCTCAGGTATTTGGGACAGATAACGTGTCTGTTTTTATCTGTCTTAAGTCCTGTACAAATATGGATATTAGAGTATTAGTGTATTTAGGCTGATGTGTTCAGCAGCTCTAGATTATGAATTGCTCCTCAACATAACGTTTGCGTTCTCCGACAAAGATCTTTATTACAGAAGAGGGTCAAGCAAAAAGGGTTACTCCTGCTAATTATTCCCTGTTATTTAATATTTGCACAAGAGGTTTGCGGGACTGAGTCCTCAGGATTGCCTTGTTTGAGAAGCTAATAGGGTTTCCGGGAAACCAGCGGTGTCTGGTGAGCCATCAGAGCAGCCTCTTAGAGGATATGGAGGACAATTAGATTTGAGGTAGTTAAGGATGGTTGGCTAAAGGTTTCTAATTACTTAGCCAGGATCTGGTCCTGGGGTTTTCAAAGTCAGCAGTAAGACTTCCCCTCAGAGCTGTGCTTTAAGGGAAATCGACTGAAGCAGATCCAATTTTCAGACCATGGGTGGGTTCATGATCTGAGCAGCTCCGGGCTGCAAAGGGCAGACATCAGTGAGCTCCATTTGCTCCAAATCCCTGCTGTTGCATCGACAGGTATTTGGGGATGAGCAGGGCTGAAACACAAGCTGTTAGGAGGGATATTTACAACTTTTTGGCCCACGCCTTAGGTTTGTCCCTATACAGTAGCAGTCCCTAGAGAGCTCCCCTGAAGTCTACCTGCTGCCTTCTGTTGGGCCTCATATTTCCTTGACTAGACCATAATGGCTGTACTGTTATAGGAATTCCATGCTAAGTGAATTGAATTTCTCATTCCATAAAGATATAATTAGGCAATAAAAACACTGGCAGCAATCTTCAAGCATGGCTGCCTGAAAGTGGGATCCACATTTAAGCACCTAAATACATGGCCCAACTTTTGGGATCCTTGTGCATTTGTGTCTTCTCTTGCTACAAGAGAACTGGAGGATTTCCTGATATTTGAGGCTCAGGTGGCTTTGGGGGAACTTAAATACGGACCACATTTCTTTAAGGAGAAAACATTTTCATTTATATTCCATGGTTTTGTTCAAGTTGCAATGCCTCCAGCTTTCCCATTTGACATTTTTTAGTAACTTAATTATCATTACCAAGGAAGAATTTTAATAATGGTGTGGTTTACATTGGATGCGGCCCTGGGGAACAAGAGAAAACAACCCAGATTGTGGGAGCAGGCGGGAGGAGAGTGGTATTTTGGAAACCCAGGCCACAACCTGCTGGCAGCATCTGTTTTTACTCAGCCTTTTCCTCTAGAGTCCCAACATCATTCACAGCCCAGACTGCCAGCAATTAGGGACTTGTGCTGAGGATTCCCCTTCCCTTGTGCTTTCATCCCCTTCCTTCCTTGTTCAGGAATCTCAGGACTGGCAGCGACACCGTTCAGTTGATGTTTGCTC